ATTATCTAATTAATTTTAATTTTATTTTATCTCTTTAATAATATTAAATAATTATCATACTTTTTATTCTTATCATAAAAAATTTTATTGACTTAATAAGAGAAAACAGCAAAGAAGAAAATAAGAAAAAAAAATGATTAAAAAAAAAAGTCCATTGAATTAAAGGTTTCATGGAAGATGTTGGAATCAACTAAGATGGTTTCAATTTTATTAGCTTTGTTGATTCGAGATGAGCTTTGTTGAAGCTCGAATCAAGTTGGATCTTTATCTGTCAGAGCAAAAAAGTTTGTGGGTATAGTTAATCAAGCCATTAGATAAGACCATAAAATTAAACGTTTCATGGTGGAAAGCTGAGCAAACTTGGGTGGGTTGAGGATTGGTGGACAATGGGTGGTCTTGGCGAGAAGTCGCCGTAAATCTGACAATTGATCACGATTTTCATTAAATTTGAAATTTTTAATGGTAATTAAAGGAGTGTTTCGGTCTAGCAAGGAGACTCCCCCCTTCATAATTATCGAGTATAAGGTTATTTTGGTTAAATTTCCTCCAGTCACAACTAAACACTATTTTTTTAGATTTCTATAAAATCTCATCAGAAATAAAGAAACACTTTACAGTTCCTCTCAATTTTTGATAATTATTTGTTTGGAAATTAGAAAATATTCATAACATGGCTTCCTGTTGTCCTCATTTTCCACTGATGTTCACCCAAAGAAGGCTCTTTTTGATCTTACAAATTTCATCACTTTGGATTGTTCAAGGGAAGAAGGAATTAAAAGTCCGCAACTGATTGCCAGTGAAACGATCACTCGAAAAAAGAGAGTAAAGGGATTAAGATAGAAGACTTTTTTGAAAATAAAATTAATCACAGTACGTATCATTTAATATGCGGGACCTACATTGTTGTTGAAGTTTTGTAACCGGTTTCAATTTTCAATCTAAAAAATGGAGTTAGGTGGATAAATCAATGAAGTAAATATCATTTCGTATTAGTTGGTATAGTTGGTACATATCAATTTTTTAAGTAAATTAAAATAATATAATATTAATTTTTAATATCAATTTTTTAAGTAAATTAAAATAATATAATATTAATTTTTACTCTAATCAAAATCTAAATATTTTGATTAAAATTTGATGTATCGATTAAAATTTTGATGTATCAATTGGTACATAAAAATTTCATTTAGTACACGTTATGGCAAATTAAAAAAAAAAAAAAAAGGATTCCATAGCCCAAAACGACACCGTTTTGGGCTAGGGGCTTCATCATCTTAGCTACCTGCAATTACAATTTCAGAGTGCACAATATTATCAGTACACAAGAATGGTCCTGTACAACTCAATTCAAATTTATTCAAATTTTAAAAAAAGTAAATTTTATTTTTGGTTCTTAACTTTAATATTTTACATAATTTTTATTTTTTAATTTTTTTATGTACTTTTTTAGTCTATTTTTCATTTTTTTTAATCATTTTATCAATTATTCTGTTAAATTTATCTAAATATACACATTTTTAATCACTTAATTTAAAGTGGATGGATGAAAAATATATATATTAGAAGTTGAGATACTAAAAATGATCGTTTTAAATTTATTTTCAATTTATAAAAGTATAATAATTTTAAATATTAATATCTCTTATCTTATTTTTAAATTTAATATTTAATTTATAAAAATATATATTTATAACGATAAATTCAAAATGGTACATAAAAAATTTTAATATTTAATACGTATCATTTCAGTAGTAAAATCGATACACCTACCATCACGGTATTGATAACTTTAAAATAAATAGATGAGCGGTTGCTAAAAAGAGACTGCTGGAGCGAGTGCTGGAGCAAGTGCTCCTAGCATTCTTCTTCGACAGAATCAGATTAAGGGAGATTGTCTCTCAACAGACTGTCAATTGTGGGACCAGTCTTGTCAATTCTCTAGTTGTATCAAAATAATTGAGAAGGACTCTGCACCAACAGAAAATATAATAAAGAAAGACTTGGAAAAGGGAAACAGGTCAAGTCTTCTCTTCACGGTGAATACTGAATGGTCCTACAACTCTCAAGAATGCTTGCTCGTGATGGCCAAAAAAAAAAAAAAAAGGATAAACAGCGCTTGTTCAGGGAAATGTTTTTCTCAGTTTTTTTTTTTTTAATTTTAGGCATCTTATAAAATAAGTAGTAATTAAATAGGAAAAAAAAAGTAAGATAAAATTATAAATATTATCTTTGAGTTAAGGGAAATAAATAAAAGAAGAAAGGACGAGAAGATAGAAATTTTACTCTTTTATTTTTCTCTCCTTCTTTTTTCTTTATTTATTTAGATAAATTAATAAATTAAAAAAAATAAATAAATTTTCTTGTTTCTCTCTTTTAATTTTTAAAAATATTAAATAAAAAAATTATCTTTTTTTGGTTAAATGCTAAATTTAGTCCCTCAATTTTACTAAATGCACATTTTTGGTCCCTCAACAATTTTTTGCACTTTTTTGATCCCTTAACTATACGAAATGCACTCCGTTAGTCTTTTCGTCAATTTGGGCCATTAACTCCACCATGTGGCATTTTTTATATTTTTTTGATGACATGTCAATGACATGGAGAAAACAACCTAAAAAGATACTGATATGGACAAAACATTATGCCACATAATATTATCACAAATCAAACGCACTAAAACCTGCAAAGAACTATGAACCCTAGAATGCTTCAGAGCAAAATTTGAGTTCTCTGTCATCGAACCCAGTTACTGATTTCATTAAAGCCACTAAGTTCATCAAGGCAGTAGATCTCATCAAATCAAATTAACCATTCAATAAACAATATCAATCAAACTCTAATCCAATTCCAACAAAAATGCAATCAAATTGTAAATCAACTCCCAAATTTATCAAGAACTGAAAATGAAAATCGAAAGAAGAACGAAAAAACATGAACCCAGCATTGAAACCCAGCCTCAACGAAACCAGCAAGGCTAGATTTGTGCGACCAGCAAGGCTAGGTTGGTCGAAACCCAACCTTGCTAGTCGTGTGAACCCAGCAGCTGAGTTCATCGAAACCCAGCCTTGCTGGTTACGCGAACCCAACAAGGCTGGGTTCGGGCAGCCAGCAAGGCTAGGTTTTGACGAACCCAACAGTTGAGTTCATCTTGCTCGAACCCAGATCTACAAGGTTTTCTTCATTTTGCTTAAACCTAGATCTACAAGGTTTGTTCATCTTGCTTGAACCCAGATCTTGCTCAAACCCAGATCTTAGAAAAATGGTCAAACAAAGGATGGGAGGGGATGAGAGGGGAAGGGACGAGAAGTTGGCACCAGAAAAAGGAAAAGAGAAGGAGAAGCTGCCGGAGACAAGGAGAGAGAAGGAGAAGTTGTCGAAGTTTAGAGTTAATGAATAAAGGGGAGAAAAGAGGAAATCAGGGGAAGAAGATGAAGTTAAGGGCATTTATGTAGTTTTGAAGTTTTTATTATTTATTAAATGAAGTGGGTAAAGTTTAGTTGCAATGTGACATAAGTTTTAGTCCAAATAAGCATATTTTTCTACTTGTATTATCCATATCATCAAACAAAATATAAAAAATGCCACATGAGCGGACTTAACAGCTCAAATTGACAAAAGAACTAATGTTGTGCATTTTTTAGAGTTAAGGGATCAAAAAAGTGTAAAAAATTATTGAAGGATCAAAAAAGTGCAACTCTATAAATTTGAGGGATCAAATTTAACATTTAACCTTTTTTTTTTTTCCTTTTATTTCTCCCCACCCAAACATGTTGGAAAAGAGAAGGGAAGAGGGAAGGAAGTACAATAAATACTACTCATTCCCCTGCTTTTATTTTCAGTTACAGTTTTAATATCTTTTCCATATGATATAAACTTATACATAGATGAGGAGAGAATAAATGTTATGTAAATTTAATCGATGAATTTAATTAGATTTATAAATAGAAATTAATTAGAATATTAAATAAAACTTACAAATTCATGAGTATGTGGTTTCATGAACATATTGATTCTATGAAATGTAGTGGTTTTATGTATGTGATTTAATGAAACTCTAAATGAAGTTAAATGAATATAAAATATGAGAGATACTAAGTGAAATGTATTAAACAAAACATTCATTTATTTGTTTAACTTATAATAAGATATATTATTTACCGTATTTTTATAATTTAATAATACAATAAGAAAAAGATGAAATTATTATTTGTGATTTTTATTTTGTAATATAATTTTTAATAAATTTTTTCTTCTTTTTATATTTTTTCTCAAAATAATAAATGTTAAGTTAAAATTCTATTTTGGTCCTTCAAACAAAGAGTCTTTTTTTAATCTCTTTACTTAAAAAACCCATTTTTACTTCTTAAAATTTAAAATCCAATCCTTTTTAAGTTTCTCCATTACTTTTTTGCATATATAGCACCTTAGATGAGAATAATTTTAAAGTATAGTGACTAAAAAGAGATAAAAGTTCCTTTTTGGTTCTTTTACTTTTAAAAAAATCTCTTTTGGTCCCTCTACTTAAAAAAACTCATTTTTAATCCCTTTGCTTTAAAATTTTCATAATCCAACATACCATTTATGTAAAAAGATAACAAAAGAACTAAAAGAGAATAAAATTTTCAACTTTAGGGACAAAAAATGGATTTTTTAAAGTAAAGGGACTAAAAAATAGTTGAATTTTAAATTTTAACAACCAAAATGGTACATTTTTAAGTAAAGAGACTAAAAAAAAGTTTTTTTTGTTAAAGTAAAAGGACTAAAAAAGAGTGTTAACCTAAATGTTATTTTATTTTATATTAATAATTTAAGAATAATTTTTATTTTTATCAATATTACTTTTACAAAAAAAAAAAAATAAAGATAATAAGACTTATTAAATACATCTGGCCCTTCGAGCCAAGTGGCATCCTATCACATTAATGTGCATCCTCCCTCCCCCCTTTGGATGGGTTCGAGCTTGTTCCTTAACAAATTGTTCAAAAAAAAAAAAAAGACTTATTAAATCACTAGTATTTAAAAGTTTCTAACTTTCAATAATTTTATTTATAAGAAATACATAGCTCTATACTTGTCTTATAAATCCTTCCTAACATTTTATTATTTTGAAGGGTCCATAAAACAAGTTATAACCTTAATATGATTAATTTTTGATTCATTAGAAATATCCTTAATAAAATAATAAAAAATACTCATAACCTCATCCTTAAGAAGGAGAGAAATCCCCCACCCCATCCGAAATCGTAAACTTCTTCAAAAAAAACACAAAAAAACAAAAAGAACTCCAACCATCTCCTATTTATAAAGCTTCATCAAATATAAAATAATAATAATAATAATAATAATAATAATAATAATAATAATAATTCAATCATCTAATAAACAAAAGTGACTGTTTGCAATATAGTTTCATCCATCGGTTTTATTTTAATTGTATAATAAAACATAATTTTTTAAATTTTTTATATTACTATATTTATATATCATATAATTTAAATTTAAAATTTTTTATTTTTTATTAAAATTATTATTAAATTATTTAACTAATTAATTATCCGTTAAGATTTTTATTTCCACACAATCAGATTGATTCTTCTATTTCTTGAATTGATCCAACTCCAAATTGTAAAGCATGGAGATTAAGTCATCCTTCCCTTTTGCCTTAAACCAGTAACAGATTCCATACCTTAGGAGTTCCACCCATCTCTTCTTGACTAAATTTCTCCGATCCAAATTTCTTCTGATTCCGTCCTTCCCAAATGATCCATGCCGTTGCAGAGGGCAAACCACGATGGTACTCCAGTTGTTCCCTCCACTTTCTTTTCGGGTACAGACTGCCAGGTCCACGTGTTTGTAAGGTGTTGCCTCCCAAGTCCCATCAGGACTAGCTGTCAAAGAGTCCCTCCCGTTGATAATATTTTGTCCTTATTTTTTTGGTGAAAATATTTTGGTCATATATATTTCCCGGGCGCCATTATGAAGGAAAACAACAAATGATTTGTATTTTCCTCCTATTGACCACACAACCTATCCTCTTGAATGCCCAGAACGCTTCTTTTTCTTGTAGTAAGTTTAGTTCGAGGGAAGGAGAAGACAGAAACAATTTTTCGAACAGCTAAATTACATTATTCAAAAATATTATAATTTAATTAATTAAAAAATTTACTTTTTTTTATTTTTTTAATTTAAATATATTATTAAGTTTTTTAATGATAACATTTTGGCTTGTATTAAAATAATTAATTTTTGTTAAGGGTTAATATTAAAATTTAAACTTTAAATTTGATTTACAAAGTAATACTTAGTTATTAATGCTTGCCGCGGGATTATGGAGGTTTTGGAATCCATTTGGCTAGAGATAACAACTGAGCTTTGGGAAATTTCAGCTACCCTCCCAGCTGATTTCTTTCAATTAAATTTTCGACGATTGGTAAAGGAACAACGCATAGGCAAATTCCTCATCGAGTGAATCTCGTAAGCAGTGGTCTTCTTTTTTCCTATCAGTCATTTGGACAATCTGGAAGAGTCGGATTGTTTTAATTTTTGAAGGTCGGAGATTGACGCCACAAGATTTATATCACCAAGCAAGTTCTCTTGCTATGAACACACGATTGGCATTTGCTTCAATAGTTTCTAGCCACTCTCGAGTACCTAGATGGGTTCGATCGTTTCCACCTGATTTCCCTTTTCTGAAGTTGAATACAGATGGTGCCATGAATCTTTCCACTGGGCAAGCAAGTGCTGGTGGTTTAATTCGTGATCATGGTGGTCGATGGATACATGGTTTTGCTTTGTGTATTGGGCAACAATCTAGCTATATGGCTGAACTTTGGGGATGTCGAGAAGGTCTGCATCTAGCTTCCCATCTTGGCATCACACATTTAATCCTGGAAATGGATTCCCTTATGGCAGTACAGATTATCAATACATGGAAAGCAGTCGAGGGCCTTGCTTCTGCTTTGTTCTTGGACATTTTTCACCTCATACAAACATTTATGGAGTGTCGAGTGCAACATACTCTTAGGGAGGGTAATTCGGCTGCAGATCGCATGGCCTCCATTGGCCAACATCTTTCTCTTGGAGTCACCTTCTTTGATTGACCATCGGCAGATGATATCCATGGCGTTTTTTCTGGTGATGATGTAGCGACTTTGTTCCTTAGAGTTTGACCTCTGTTATTTTACGGTTTAATTCAAAAAATCATCTACTAACTTTCAGTCTAATTTCAATTTCATCTATTATCTTTGAATTGTTTCAATTCTATCTATTATCTTTAACATTTATTTTAATTTCATCTAGGCAGTTAAAGTTAACAGAAATCCTAACAAAAATCTTCTTAAACCTTAGTACTATAACTATGTTTCTTTTAATCTTTTAGTCCTTAAATTTATATTCACAGTAAAAATAGTTTTTATTTTTATTTTGCTAAATGTGTTTTTCAAAAAATTGTTTTACAGAGTAGACTGCTTTCAGTCCACCCTATAAAATTCTTTAAATACCCTTAATTCTATTTTTATATTATTTTTGTATAAACATTTAAATAATTTTATAAGACAGATTGTATATAGTCTGTCCTATAAAACAGATTTGCTCTTAAAATTTCTTATTCTGAACTTACTGAATTTCTCTGTTTGATTTACAATCTATCTTTATAAGCTATTTTTTGATTTATCATATTTTATTAGGATTTAAGTGTCACTTTTTTAAAACTCAAAGGACTGCTCTTTCTTCAAATCTAACGG